GGTGCAAAAATATAATGCATATTCATTGGGCAAGATTTGTTGAATACTCACTTTGTGCTTCAGCCTTATTAGGTTCCAATTTCACAGCAAAAGAAAATAGACAAAATTCTGCCCTCATTAACATTTTATCATAGTCTGCTCTTTTAAATATTTATTTTTAGTTATAGATGGATACAGTACCTTTATTTTATTTTTGTGTGGTGTCGAAGATCGAACCCAGTGCCTCATGCAGGTTAAGAGAGCACTCTACCTCTGAGCCACAACCCCAGAAATTATCACTGAGTTAGTTGAAGTCAGAGAAAGGCTTTTGAATTTTTCCACTCCCAAAATATAGCCTCTGATTTGACATCCAGTGGGTTTTTCACCCAGGACACATGCAGGATCACTGAGATGTTAAGCAGTGCATTGGACTTAGGGGGTACAGATTTGGCTCTGTAAACTAAAGCTGGAACAAGAAATGCTTTCCTACTAAACTAGCCCAGTTTTTAGGGGTAGAAAGAGAAACTATATAGCCAGAGGATAGAAGGATACAAGCAATTTGAGAGCATCAGCAACAGCCAGAAAAAGAAGTAAGGGGTAAAATTAAGGGGCACCGATTAAAGTTATTGCATGGCAGGAAACAAACAAAAACCCTAGAATTAATAAAATAATGTTTTTATTGTTCATCTATTATGTGCAAAGTATATTGCTGGCCATGGTGGGTGAGTTTTGATCTGTAAGCCTCATCCCAGCTTATACAATCACTCAATGGAGAAAATTCCTTAGCAGCTTATCATATATGATGGTGTATATGATAATATATATTCATATGTGTATGTGTATATATATACAAACACTCATATATGTATGTATTTACACACACACACCACTATATATGTATATATATGTGTATATATTTATACACACCCTCTACCACCCCCCGCAACTATGAGCATTTCCACAGAAATGCTCTGAAAGAAGTATCTCCCAAACTAGATAGGTGTAAAATGTTCTGGGATCCACCTTGTCTATTCTTGTACTAAGGGAAGGTCTCTTTTGATCACAACATTTGATGGAAAAAAAGAGGAGATACTTACGGTACTATTGGTTGCAATTAGGTGCAGGGTCCTCTCAGGGTTGTAAATCAGCGGCAGACAGTACCCCATACCAACAAGGGGAAAAAATAAATAGAGAAGAAACAATTTTCTTGTGGTATGTAGGGTCTGCTTTGTGGTACTATTTTGAGGAGCCTTCTGGGAACAATATTTTATTATATATTTTTATGGAATAATTTGCATTAGGTTAAATTTATATGGCCCCAGGAGTGACTGTAGGACATAATCCTTGATTTCCAGGATAAACAACAAAAATAAGAGATAAAATAAGTACAAAGCAAGGTGTCCTGTGAGGAAGAACTTCACATTAGACACAATTTATAACTTACAAGTTGCTTCTGATCAAGGTAGTATATTACTTTAAAGGAGAGCTGTGCACTAGAAAGAATTTTTTAAACAATCCCTATAGTCGGCTGAATGCAAGGAGCTGAGCAACTAATATTGTGGGGTACAACACTATTTTCCCTAACCTTTTGGGTCTATTCTTTCTCTTTATGGTAACTTTAGCAATATGGAAAATATTACTTATTGAACAAGTTCCACATATTTTGCCAAAAACATTATCTACATTATCACTGGGCCTCTTGATCCCTCCAGGTCCAGTCCAGTGTTAACTTCTTTTGATCCATAACCCTATGACAAAAGCTCCAAGCTATATTAATATTTCTATTACTAGTTATTAAATGATAGTTAATAATGCTCTACTCATTCTGTTTAGTCTTTTAATGCAGTACACCTCATTCTGCAGTCTGTTTTCTGGTTGCCCCACTACAGATTGAACTTGGTAAGAGCATGGGCCATATTTCACTCCAACTTCCTAAACATTCAGTAGTTTCTAAATGTCTGTTGAAGTGGAGTTTGTAACTCCAAACTCACTAGAGAATCATTCATGGAATTTTTGAGCAAGAGAAGACTTGCAACCTTTGATATGCTTTCATTTGCATATAAGAAAAATTAAGCTAGGACATCTAACTTTTATGAGGTCACATAAATTTGTCAGAATGAGGATTAGAATCCAGTTCCCTTACTTTTCTTCAATACTGTTTCTTCTATAAAAGATGCTACTAAAACACAACTAAACATTTTTATTTCCCAGTCTCCTGCCCTTCCTCCCCTCAAATTCTACCAGCAATTGGCTTTTGGGTCTTCAGGCTAAATCTGTGACAGTAAATTTCCTCACCTGTTATGGTTTAGATGTGGTGTCCCCCAAAAGCTCACTGGTGAGACAATGTGAGGAGGTTTGGAGGAGAAATGATTGGGTTATAGCCTTAACCTAATCAGTGAATTAATCCCTTATGGGATTGAGTGGTAACTGGAGGCATGTGGCTGGAGGAACTGTCTTACTGGGAGCATAGCTATGGGATATATATTTTGCATCTGGCAGTGGAGCTCTCTCTCTGCTTTCTGATCACCTTGTAAGCCGTTTCCCTCTACCACACACTGCACCATGATGTTGAGCCTCATCTCCAGTTCTGAGGCATGGAGCCTGCTCTCTGTGGACTGAGACTTCTGAAACCAAGAGCGCCCAAATAAACTTTTCCTCCCCTAAAATTGTTCTGGTCAGATCTTTTAGTCACAGCAGAGAAAAAGCTGACTAAAACATCACTTTTACCATATAGAACAGTTTCCCATGCCAAACAAAGCAATGCCCAAACTCTAGATTAGTTGGCTGTTGCTGTGGTATCACATAGTGTAAAGTTGGGGGAATCCTCTACTTAGTTTTTACCACTGAAGTCGTCCCACAAAGTACTCTTTAATCCATCCAAATCAAAATGTTTGGCCACACACAGACCATATTCTTTCTTGAGACAGGAGAGGCTTTCTTCCTATTCATTCTGGAGTGGAATATCCTTCCTTCTTATCAACCTGGTGAACTTTAATAATCTGTTCTAATCAGAAGTGGAGAGATCTGGCTTTAGATCATAATAACTGAATGAAGAAGTTGGTGTGTCTAGCACTTAGCAGCCTATACCCTCAGTAATTTTCACTGAATGACTTTCCCTCTGGAAAGTTACAGAAATATAACTTATTATTTAGAGTTGTGAGCAACCCTTTACCAAAACTTTTCTATTTGGAGGAAAAATAGTATGTGGGCTCACTCATTCTTTTCTTCTTTCCCTTAACTCTGGTTCATCTATCATGACTGCCATTCTCACTTCCTCTATGTGTACTTCTCATTTTCCCAGCACCCCTGCCCCTGGATACTTGTGGGAGAGGAATCCACAAATTCCTTTGAGGCTCTATCACTAGAACAAGTTCCCAGTAGCTGGAGATCAGGGAGGCAAACAGGAAGTTTTTGTACTTCCACCTACTTTGTGCCTGGGGCCAAAACTTTGGAGCCCACCTGAAGAGTCTGCAAAAAGGATGATAGAACGAAACTAACCTTCCCCATCCGCATGAAAGCTTTTCTCTGTGGAGGTAGTGACCCAGCGTCACGCCTACCCTGATGTTGCGCGTGCAGGGCAGAACTGTCTGGTTGAAAAGTGTCAGGTTATAGCCCCCCAAACTCTCCTCCTCCACTTCTTAAAATCTTGGGCGGGACATTTTAAAAAGTGTTGTTCTGGATTCTTTAAGTTTCAAAGCATCCGAAGGGCAGTCCCCTTTGCAGTGACAGTTGCAGTCTGTGAGGTAAAGATAAGCAGAGGCCAGTTCCCAAGTCTCAAAATCCTTTTTACTTTCCTTCAAGCCCACGACCCATCCTGCCCCTTCCTCTAGCTCACATGAAGGGTCAAGGGTAGCTTTCCTCAGCTTGCGTGCCTGGCTTCGTCAACAACACCCATTAGTCCTCAGTCTCCCAGGACAGCCAGGGACTCCCAACCACACGCCCAGGGCCCTTGCCAGCTGTGCGGGCCCAGAGGTGCACGGCGCCCCACCGCAGGCAGAGGGAATGCGGCCAGCCCTCGGGGGCGGGTAGTCCAATGGGCAGCCTCGCCCCGGAGGCGGGCCCAGGCCGGAAGCCACCCCGCGGCACAGCGGCCCCGCGAGACGGCGCCCGCGCCCCCGCC